ATTTACAATGACAATTCGTTCCTTCAGGATTTAAAAAAAAGTCGCAATGATTTAAATTTTATTTATACAAAGAATCAGGCACAAAAATTTTCAGGGGTAAGTTACAACAGAATGCTCTGTAATAAAGTAATATATTTTGGAAAATGAATGAATGAAATTGTGACCCAAATCCTATCTGCAGAAATTAATTTGTTCATAATAAAACATTTAAATTATTGCACTCTAGAGATGTTTGTACATTTTTATACTGGGATTTGTGAGCGTTCCTTGTATGATAAAATAATATCTTCATATTCTTTTTCTGCCAGTGCTGTTCATTTTGCATGCCTTATGCATGCATTGCTTTTTATCCTCTTTTGGGATTTGTTAGATGCTAAAAACAAACCATGACGTGTCCATTGAAATACAACCCAGACCTTCAAATGTTTCCGTTATATACTGTATATGACATAGTACAGAAACTATAAAGGATAATGTTTCTATGTTTGTTTTAAATCTGACAGGTTTTTTTAATAGAAACCACATTTTGGCTCATAGAACAGAATTTGCTTGTGCTAGGCACTGAATAAACAGGACAAAAAGACAGTTCCTATGCTAAAGATCTTACAACATTAGTAATTTTTAGAGTATCTTGTATTACAGCCTCTTTCTTTATAATAATTATGTACATCTGAGACATAGAGATGATTGGTGAGATTTCCCTGACACCCATAAGCATCTCCAATTCAGATGCCTGAGTATATTAATTTGGAGTGGGTCAGATGTGAATACAGGCAGTCCCTGAGTTATGCGGATCCGACTTATGTCGGATCCGCACTTACGAATGGGGCTTTCTCGCCCCGGAGCTCGCAGGCAGCGGGACCGCCCAGAGCGCAGCGGTCCCGCCACCTTGACCTCTGGGCCGAGAAAAGCTGCTCCGGGTGCCCCTGGTCTGCTGGGGACCGTCTCCAGCAGACCAGGGACACCTGGAGCAAAGCCGGGGAGGTGGAGGGGTCCCGTGCCTCTGAGGCTTTGCTCTGACAAAGCCT